GTATGACTCATGAAAGAAATATAAGATAGAAGAAACTTCACTTTTTAAATGTTTTCTGTTTGTGTGAGCTAGGCAATGCATCAATGCATTTTGTTTTCTGAAAGTACATATGTGCATGTGGTGGAAATGCTCCTCCATACGTGCGACTTGGTAGCTGTTGTACAGTGGAAATTGTGACAATTTCTTGTGTATATTTGTGATGATATTTTAGGCACTTTTAAGCAAATTCATTTTCCCTCCCTTCTTGTACAAATCAAAATATACCAATAACATATGTCTTCTCTTATGCCTAATTTTTTACCAAATGCCATCATTTGATTTGATACATAGTAGACTTATTTCTATGCATATCTCCTAGGCTTCGTTGGGAGTACATACCTCAATAATATCACCAGATCATTGTTAATAGAGGGTTTTCTTTTTAACAAATTTGTTCTTGCCTAGAATTGCTTTTGCTCTGTCAGTCTTTTCTTGTTCCAAATGATTTTTTGGATTGTTTTCTCAAAGTCTGTGAAGTATGCTGCTAGGATTTCAACTGGGATTGCATTGAAACTATATAGCAGTTTTGGAAGTATGGCCATTTTCACTATGTTGATTCTTCCACCCAGGAGCGAGGGATGTCTTTCCATTTTCTGATATCCTCTTCATTCTCTTTTTTTCAGAGTGCTATAGTTTTCAGAGTACAGGTCTTTGATTTCTTTTGTTGTGTTGATTCCTAGGTATTTCATTTTATTTGGATTCTATTATGAAAGGAATTGTTTGCCACATTTCTCTCAGTGAGTCTGTATTTTGTGTGTGTGTGTGTGTGCACAGGAAAGCTATTGATTTTTGCGTGTTGACCTTGTATCCCGTTACTCTACAGAATTTGCTTATAAAGTTTAGAAGACTTTTGGTGGAGTTCTGTTGACTTCTTTCATAAAATGCAGTGCTACTCAGCCATAAGAATGAGAAATTGGTCATTTATACCTAAATGGATGCTCATTGAGGCAGTACTTTTAAGTGAAATAAAAAGGACACACTTGTATAAATACCAAATAGTTTCTCTAGTGTGAGAAACTAAAAGTGTAAATAAGGACTAAAAGGTATAGTACAAAATGTAAAATAGGAAGAAGAGGGGTAAAGGGGAAGGGGAAATGAGAGGAGTAGGGGAAAGGAAAGAAGCGAATGGAATTAATGTGAGAAAGTGAAAAATTGGAAACAGTCTTTGTACATAGGAATGGAGGGGTTGAAGGGAGGGCAGGGGAATGGGGAAAAATAAGAACCAAGATGGATTAGGTACATATTATTTGATACCTTCAATGCACCAGTAAAGTTTTAAAAAACTTGCTATTAAAAAGTGCGAAATGAATAATATTGAGCAATTCAAATGAATGTGTTTGTATACGTGCAGCGGGCCTGACGGATAAATTTTTAAAATAGAGAATGGGTGGAGGGCAAGATCAATGTATACTTATTTTAAAAGAGGTTTTAAATCTGTTCTTTTCTTAGTAGTAAGACAGATATATAGAATGAAAATCACAGGGAAAAGAGCACTTCCTCCGCCTCCCCGTTCTTCTAATCAGTGACAGTCGTATCCGCGGCGTAAGCCACCTTCCTGAGATCGCTGATGCACAGGGAGGCATCACGCACTGTGGATTTCCTGTGGCTTCTGAAAGCTTCTGCTTTCCCCTGCTTACTTGTTCGTGGGCAGCAGAAGACCTTTGCCAAGATGTTGATTTAAGTGGGGAATAGCAGGTTCAAGGGTAAATGTTTATGTTAGACATAAAACATTTATTGCCTTACTACTTAGCTTCAACTAATTAGACTCATCGATAAAAGTGATTTTTTAACCTCCCTATAGGTATTTTTTATTTTAATAAAGAGAGAGCTGTGGATTATTCTGTATATTGCTTTGTTTGTAGCCAAGAATTTTCACACCTACTACTTTCTTCTACATTTGGCAAATAGAATGAACTCTAAAATTGCATTTGCCCATCTTCATAGAATGGCCGTTTGCTTCTCTCTTATACTTTTTATTTCCTGCTATCAGCATCTCCTTTCATACTTTCTTCTTCAGTGTATCCCATTTTGGGAGAGCTATTGGAGAGGTTTGGATCTTGTACAGTTAGAAAATCACCGCAGCAGTCTCGGACACCTGATTGCTCCCCATTCAGGAACTGTGCAATTCTGAAGCGCAGTTTCCCTTGTCCTGCCGCCTCCCGGCGTTTTCACACTTTAGATCAGGATTGTTCCCCAACGACTGCTTTGTCCTGAACACTTGGCCCTGATGTCCTGATGTTCTGTGATGTGATGCTTGGAAATGATTGTATGAGGAGGGCCCCAGCTTGATGAGTTCCCCATTGTTGTATTCCTAATTTGATGTTGTTTTGGGGAAGATGATGAAACCTTAGAACGTGGGACCTAGTTAAGGCCATAAGTAATGTTGGTGTGTCCTCGAACACTAGAACACTAGGTGTCATCCCCAACTTCCTCCTCTCTCTCTCCCTCCCTCCCTCCCTCTCTCCCTCTCTCTCTCTCCCCCTCTCTCTCCCTCCCTCTCT